TTAGGTTGCAGGCAGAGCTCCTGGAAAGGGATCAGGGGGTCACCATCCTATTAAGAGATCAAGGGAAGGCAAGTTGTGAAGCTAAATGGAATAATTTAAAAGACGACTAGTGAGAGGCAGAGATGAGGACAGCACAGCATACTACTAGGGCAGCGATCTGACTGGTTGGGGACAAGGAGTTTGATAAGACTCTTATAATTTTAATCTTCCCGTTAACTGAACAATTACAGAAGCCATCAACATGTAATGTGAAGATACATGATTTCTGCTTGCAGTTAAAACTGCTCGAATCTTAGGGGCAATATCTCAAGTTAAAAGAAAAAAAAAAAAGTAAAATGAATGGTTGGCCAAATCCCCACTGTTCTGCCTCTGGAGGCAGGAGAGCTGATCTCCACCTCTGCCCTCAGGTAAGGCAGCACTCACGCACAGCCATGATCGCTGCTCCCTGTGAGCACTGCTCCTGCTCGGAGCTGCCTCTCCAGGAATCCATGTGCACTCATCCATGGGAGTAAAGCCTCACGTGCACTGATACAGTGCATATACAGCTGTCCACAAAACTAAGGGAATTATTTTAGTACCTCCACCTGCCTTAGCCTATTTTTCCTCTTCCTCTTCCTCAAATTCTCCTTAGCACTTCCCCCCCCCCCCCCCCCCAGTTTTGTTGCACTCCTATTTTGTAGTCTTCCCTCAGTATCCGTTCCTGGCTGATGTCAAAGACAAGGTGGACCAGGTTCATTGTTAGGCTGATGTGATATGGCCTTTTTTTATGTTCTTCCTTGGGTAACAGCTTGCTAAAAATTAAATCATTTAGTAAAAGGACAAATTAAATAATCAGCCGGGGTTCTTTTTTCCTCGGGTAACATAAGAGCATGTATGTTACATTTTGTTTGAATTAAGGCTATAATCACATACACATCGCTGAAACTGTTACATTTCATGAAGTGGTCTTATTATTTTCTGCATATTTTTCTTTGTATGTGGAGTTTTTTTCTTTCTATTAAATTGCATATCCATGGAGGATTTGGGGGCACTCAGCCAGTCAATCCAATTTGGAGTTGGATGGTGGCTGTAGTGGGCTAAGTCCCTTATCTGTCCCTTTCAGCTGTTTTACTTCTCTGCTATTGACAGAAACATAAAATTAAAAGCGGAATCAACTTAGAGGCAAGAGCCCAGAAAGACACTTAGGAGGGAAAAGTTGGGGGAGATTCTGACTAATCTCTGTGCAGATGGGGTAATGGCTGACAGATTCGGTTTTAAATACGCATGCAGTAGGTCGTGTGTTTCACAAATATTGCCATTTCATTTATCTTTGTGAGCATCAGAGCAAGTATAAGAAGAAAACTGAAATCAGATTGGTAATGGTTGAGGGTTTTTTGGGGGGTTTCTTTTTGAGAAGTGGAATTTATGGAATTCTGGTTTCCCCATGTGCTGTGTACTGGGAAATTATGAAGCTTGAAGAATGAACAGGAGGCCTGAAAGTGGATTAGCCATTCCTACAGGATGGCAGCAGAAGCCTAAAGAGGAACTACCCAGCATATATACTTGATTCTGTGCATACTTCATATTAGGTAAATGCTATGGTGAAAAAGCAGCTCAAGCTATTGAAATCAGTGGTTACAATGGTGCAAAATCAATGGAAATAAGAATTTGAATCTGTCTGCTGGGTCTGTAGGATGCATAGTTGTCCTCATACCTTGTGACTCTGGACCGGAGCGGGCCTTGCATTTCTTCTAGGTTAATACTTCCCAGTAGGCTAAACGGTGACAGTTCTTATGTTCCTTGCTGACCTAGATGAGTCGGGTGATGCTGCTTTCTTCATGCAGACCTCTCTGCTGTGCTTCTGTTTGTGGGCTGGCATTAGGCAATGCACACTGACAACTAAAATCTGTTATGTGAGGGGTTCTCCCCAGGGAGGATCCTCTGCCTCTTGTATCACAGTGATGTGAAAAAGAAAACCTCATAGTCAGCATTGTACCCCATCAGCCAGCCAGTCCTTCCCCTGCGGTGAGGGCAGGAAAAGGGCGATTGATCCTTCAGTGCCTGAGGGACAGGAAGGCAAATCGGTCTTCTCCTGAATGAGACTTTCCTGCCACAGCCGGTACAGAGGACTGATGGAATAAACTCCACCTCTTTGCATAGGAATCATGTTCTCCAGATGGCTTCCCTCTTGTCCATGGAGGAGAAGGTGGTGCACCTGGGGCTGGGCTCGGTGTGAGGTGGGGAACGATCAGAGTATTGGAAGGAGGAGGTGTCTGTCTGTGAGAAGAATGGTGGGAGAAGGACAAAAAGGCTGCAATGGGGGTCAGGAGGAGAAGGTGAAGGAGCCAGGGAGTTTCTCTGCAACAAGGAGAGAGTAAAGTGCAGAGCAGCGAGGGAAAGCAGCATAAGGAAGAGGGAAGCGGAATCTCTGCGCTTATTTAAGAATATTGAAAGATACTATCATAGATGAAAGGAAAATGTAGCAAAGTGAAAGAGGACAAAGACAGAAATAAGCTGTTTTGCAAATCAGAAAATGTAATGCTAAACGAAGCAATAAAATACATTGCTGGTGCGAGTGTGATTGATTTGGCTGACATCTATTTTTTCCCTCCTACTGGGCAACTCAACGAGCTGCTGAAGAGAGGGGCGCATAAATCTCAGGTAGGTGAGGTGTTGCGTTGGTGAAAAAAGGTAAATAATCACAAAATCACAGAATCTTCAGACTTGGAAGGGACCTCTAGAGATCACCTAGTCCAACTCCCCTGCTAAAGCAGGATTGCCTAGAGCACATTACTCAGGACTGCATCCAGGCGGGTCTTGAAAATCTCCAGAGAAGGAGACTCCACAACCTCCCTGGGCAGCCTGTGCCAGTGCTCTGTCACCCTAACTGTAAAGAAGTTTTTCCGTGTGTTGGAACAGAACTTCCTATGTTCCAACTTGCACCCATTGCCCCTCGTCCTGTCACTGGGAACCACCGAGAAGAGTCTGGCTCCATCCTCCTTCAACCCACCCTTTAGATACTTGTAAGCGATAATAAGGTCTCCCTTCAGCCTTCTCTTCTCCAGGCTAAAGAGTCCCAGCTCTCTCAGCCTTTCCTCATAAGGGAGATGCTCCAATCAATCAATCATCTTAGTTGCCCTTCGCTGGACTCGTTCCAGCAGTTCCCTGTCCCTCTTGAACTGGGGAACGCAAAACTGGACACAGTATTCCAGTTGTGGCCTCACCAGTGCTGAGTAGAGGGGGAGAATGACCTCCTTCAACCTACTGGTCACACTCTTCACTATGTAGCCCAGGATTCCATAGGCCTTTTTGGCGACAAGGGCACATTGCTGGCTCATGGATAAATAATAATGCTTGGCATCTTGTGGACTTGCCTCCCCACCTGACTGATGCTGATGTCTCAGACCATGGATGTTGCTCTTTGGATCTGGTACAAATTCTCAGTGGTGCTGCAAGGGACCAGTCCTCCCCGCTCCCATCCTTGTGTAGGCACGGGCATCTCTGAATCAAGATGCTGATGCTGAAAACTAACTGTCCTGGGTTGGATTACTTCTTGTGGCTGTGTGAAAGCTACCGTGAATGCAGGAGAGGCGATGAGAAAGGGCAGCTAGGGGTAGTGGCAGAAAGGAACCTCTCTTCACAGCAGTGACAGGGATTTATGCCAGATTACAGTGCTCATCTCATCACCAACTGGCAGGACATGAGCCCCCATGCTCCTACAGGCATCCGGTCCATAACAATGTAGGAATTCTTGTTCACTTAACAGAAACCAAGCTAAAAAGAGAAGGGGAAGCCCCAGGCAGCCCTTGTTCCTGCAACCTGTCAATCTGGCCTCACTGGCAATTATCATCTCCTACATTTCTCCCCAGTGATCTTGCTTTTTTGGCTCCTACCCCTTGTTTCTCCATGCAGCTTCCACATCTCTTGATTTGCCATGCTCTTGGGTGACACTGCAATAAATAGAGGTGGCTTTGGCCAAACCCACTAGAAGTCCATGTAAATTTTGTCCCAGTAGCTACAACCAAGGCAGGTTTCACAGTTTTCCCCTGGTCTTTCAACTATGTGTTCAGGGCAGCATTTCTGGAAATCTTGTGCGATGTTCTGATCTCAAGTTACTTGCAGAATAGAAAAGCAAAGCTTGTCTCTCAGGGTATTTATAGATTGTTCATGGCTCAGGGAAATTTCCTCACTAGCTGTCTTTTACTAAACAACGATAGCACTTTTTATCTTTTCTTACGTGTAGTAAAGCTGTAGAAAAGCTACTTGGGCCTCCCTTCTTGACAAAAGACCTTTCTCAAGGAGTCACAAATGGATTAGTTCCCTAGCCCAGTTCACAGAATACTGCCTGCCCTTCCAGGGGCAAAAATTCCCTACCCCCTTTATGCAAGGTTTTTCCTTACATGTGGAGAGATTGCCACATGGTGGCAATTTACCTCCACTTTACAACTTTACAAGTAACCCAGTCTAGCTTCTTTTCCAAATGCCTGTTTCCTTTCAGCCCCACCCTGTGCCCTTAGGAAACACTGGCACTTCAATGTTAAGATAATTTGCTCTTCCTTTGCTTTCTTTGGGGGTGTCCCTCTCCTCTCTTCCCTCCTTCCCCGCAATGCTGAGGATGCCATTACTTTCTCCTACCTCCTTCCAGTCTTCCTGCCAAAAGAGAGTACTGGCACAGGTTTGGATTTTATATAATCCTTGGCTAATTTCTTAAAAAGCCAGATAAGCTTCTTTCGCTTCTAGGCATGAGTGGGATGACTATGGGGACAGCTGGGGAGAGCAGGGAACCACGGCAGGACGGCAGCGGGGGGTTGAGACAAACTGCAAGTCCATGCCCACGACAGCTTCCTACGATCCTCTTCTCAAGTGGGCACAGGGAAAAAAATGAGGAGCCATAACCCGATCTCTGCCATAATACCATTGAAACCAAATCAGGTCCATGAGAAGTTTACGGACTTACTGTAAAAAAGGGCAGCAAACCCAACAAGAGCTCTCTATAATAATCTTATTGTGAAGATGCTGACCATGATCCCATCATCAATGGTGTTCTGAAACGGGTCCAAAGCAGGGCACAATTTCCTGCTGTCCTTCACACGGAGCTGCTTGGGGTCCAGCGTTCTCATCCTCTCGCCTCTGAAAAGAGCAAGCGCCCTTCTGAGGACGCTGCCTGCAGGTTGAACTGTAGCAGCAAAGGAAAGGATCCATTCCACTGCAGGAACAGCAACAAAGAGAGGGCTCCTCGCATAGCAGAAAAGCCAAGATGTCCCTGGAGTAATTCCAGAGGCTTGCAGGCTGAGGTATTTTTACAACATCACAGAAACATGAGATCTTATTTTTCAAGAGTCCTGATTGTAGGTTAGTGCCTTTTGTGCTTTCTTTGTGCTTTCTTTTCAATACAAATTTGTTAAGAAGTGTTGAAACTGACTTGTTACTGAAATTTGTCCATGCCAACCTACCATTTTTTGTTGGCATGGATGTTTAAAGCAGTATTTTCCTCTGTATCAAATTTCATTCATAGATTGCTGAAATAGATTTAGAAGTGTCAGTATTAGCCAAGCAATGTTTAGGATCAAACATAATTTTTTGCCATTTAACCATCATAAGAAGCATACACTCAGCAGACAGTCTGAATAAAATTCCATTGTACAGAATTGTCCTCTGTTGTGTATTATATTTTTTATGGCAGATTTACTCCTCTGACAGAGAAAATTCAATATGTAGCTGCATTTCTACTACAGATACAGTCTCCTGCTAGCCAACAGATAAGCTTTTTATCAGCAGCCATGCTTCTGTGGCACTCTTCTGGGCTCCTGCCAAGCTCTGCCGTCGTTCCTTTCATGAACAGATCAATGTGCAAACATTTGAAAACCCTAAATAACATAATAGCTACTTGAATGCATGCTCAGATTCTCCCCCCCAACCAAATGGATTTCAAAACTCTTACACCTACTTAATGCACCTAATGCAAATCTACAGAACCAAGGAAAGAAGGGAAAGGGGTAGCACATGGCTACTGTTTCCAAAGCTGCCCTGCCCCACAGACCATATGCATCAGCTTTTCCTCTAAGCCATGGCGGAAGCCTACCTTCCCATGCTGCTTTGCCACATCACCCCTCAAACAGAACATGCAACCCCAGCATCAGCTGGAGCTGGTAATGATGAGAAGAAGAGTCTGGGTAAAGAACGTGATGAAGAACAAGCAGAGAGGAGAGATAACAATGTGGTGAGTTGTTTGTTATGCATAAGAGCAACGCCAAGGTGTGTGTGGGAGATGTGTATCAAAACACACAGTCACTGGTTAGTACTCCAGCCTAAAATTCTGAGATGACCTGCAGCTGCGTTGTCTGCAGCGGTTGCTGAGGCCATCCTCCTCTGATAATTGATCACCATGCATTTATAACGAGGCAGTGAGACTCTTCGCCTTACACTGCCACACAGGCTGCTGGCATTAGCCCAGGTGCATTTTGTCTTCTCTGCTCTTGTGAACTCTCCCTCTGTCCTTCTTTTTGCAATGGAATAAGCACCTGTAGAGATAAGATCCCTTTATTCTCTGTTACCCTTCAAACCACAGGATGCGTGTTTGGAGTGATGCCCGTTAGCAAGAGCAATGCTGGAATACTGGAATCAAAAAGTTCCCCATGGGGAAACAGCAGTGGTAAAAGAAGAAAACTGAAGAAAGTGAAGTGACCTTGGTGGATAGCTATTGAAGGAAAAAAATGAGGAAAAAAAAAAAGGGGGGGAAACTAATTGGAAAGGAGATAATGTATGAGTGCAATATAAAATATAAAAAGAAAAGCAATGGGAAAACAACAACAACAAAAAAATAAAACAAACAGAAGGAGAAGGCATAAGCAACAACACAAATGAAGCAAAAAGATTAATCAAATCTCCCTCCTTACTGAGGGCTGAGGGGTTGTACCAGCACCTGCCTTGTCTTTTTTTTTATATAAATTTGTAAATAAACTTAATTAGTTTTTTTCCTGTTGAGGGAGATATAAGACATGCTAATAAGTTCCTGCAGAGGGTAAATAGTTTAAGGGGATGATAGTAGTGATACTGAAGTATTAAAATAAGGATCAAAGCCAGGACTGCCAGAATAAGGTTTCTAGGTTATCCATATACCATTACAGCTTTAACAGATTAAAGACTCATTTGAACATAAAAAGAGGAAAAATCACAGGGATCATCTCCATTATAAAAATGGCTTGGTTACAAAACCTAGTAAAGGCCCGATTCTATCAGGCTCAGACCGAACACTGCTTTATGAATAGCTCCATTAAAATCAGTGGGATCGACTCAGTGTGATCTGTTCCTCAGCAAGAGTAAGGGTGCCCAAAGTCAGTCTGGGGGGGTTTACAGGGATTGCTCGAGCTCAGTGGCATTTTTCAGTGCTTAGATCAGTTTCTGTTCTGGCCTCTGGAGCAGTAAGGGTGACAGTGGTGTTTTGAATCCATCATCGGTAGCGCATTTACAGTTATATAGATAAACATTTGTCGTAAGGAGGAAAACCTGTGCTCTGCAACCTAAACCCATCAGAGCACTGAGTATCGTTACAGCAGATGCTAGTTACATCGGCAGTCTCTGGTGCCATGGGGATGGAGGTTTCTGCATTCAGACTCCACAATTCCGTGGAAACAAAAGCTGTTGTGGGATCAGGAGGATAAGTAAATGGGTGCACTGGCCCATGCAGCTCTCCCTCTCTCAAAGCCATAGCTGTCCTGGACATAAATGCTTCAGACAAACTTCTAAAGTAGGTGGAAAAAGATCCTGAACAAAGTACAAGTCACACCACAGTACAGAGACCAGATCACTTTTTCATCTCTGTTTGAAATGTCATCTGTTATGGAAATGTGCTGTAAGGCCAGATCAGATTTGTGAAGAGAAGTAACGTTCAGTTTGAAAGAGAGCGGTTGTACTTCAGAGATGGTTTCTTCCTTGTCATTTCCCTCTATATTCAAATGCTAACAGTCCTAGGACTTTTACATAAACTCTAGAGTAATGGTCAAAATGGAAATGTGAAACTCACTGTATTAGAATTGTGGAATTTGTAAGACCCAGCTAAAAAGCAGCTATAAATGGAAGCTGTTTGGGTTTGGTGTTCAAACCCTTTCATTTCCACCACTTCTTGTCTAATATGTCCTGTTTGGCTTAGATGTCTCAGACCCAATACTACCATTACACACATTACGATCACTGTCACCTTACACACGACACAGGTAAAGAAAGCAAGCAGAAGTCCAGGAAAAAAGCTACCATGCCTTCCTAATTACCTTTAGGATTATGATTTCCAATGTAGACTTGAAATTTGTGCCTTGGATTCACCTATAGATCTGCAAGAAATCTTTAGGATACATCTACTCCTGCTGCTGACAGATGGTAGAGCAGATAACAGAGACTATGAAGATAACAGCATTTCACCCCCAGCTTTTTCTTGCTATATAGTAGCACGAGGTAGCTGTGAAATCAGCGGTGTTTCAGAACATTTCTTGCACTGCTGAGGTTTCTGGCTGGAGGTAGCCCAAACACGCAGTTGGTCTATAAGCTCTCAATCTCAGCACAGAGGTCACACAAAAGAAAAAGACACCTAGCCAGAAGACAGGCAGGTTTATGTGGGTCAGGGCTGTTCCTTTTATGTGCCAGAGGACAAACCTGCCCTTTTCCACCTTGAACTGGGGAACTCCAAAGCTTTAAACCCCTTGGGGCTTTTTTTCCCTGAGGTTTGACATGAGAATGGCTAAGCAAAATACAAGGAGGAAAACAGTGGAGGACAGCCTGAAAAAAATGGAACCTTTAATATGTTCCTGCTCTCTGTCCCCATTCCTCCTTTTCTACGCGTCAACAGCTTTAATAATCTGTCAAAAGCAAAACCTGAAACAAGAAAATCCTTTCCTACCCAGTGTCACAAAATGTTCATAATGTCCTAAGGAACATTAGCATGAGAGGGGATGCATTTAATACCTTCTCTCTTTTTTTTTTCTCTTTTGACACCGGTTAGTTCTGCATTTTTTAAATAGGCGCTCTGAAACAACCAGCTGGCATTTTAAAGCAAACAAAAAATTAGGATCTGCTTATGGAACTGGAGTTAATACAGAAGTGGCTTTTAAACAAGACAGAAAAATCATGATAAGAAAAAAACCACAGTGAAATCACTTATGTATAATCTCTTCACTAGGAAAATAAACCACTGCTACATCCACACTAAGCATATGTAGAGTAAACAAAACAGATGGGGGATTTCCCACTGCTGGTTTCTTTCTTCTAAGGACGGTTATTTTCAGTTCATAAACTCTCAGCTGTCATCTCTGATTTATCTTCACGGCAAATTTCTGTTAGGGTTACGGGGCAGGCAGCTTGGGCGATGTGGCACGTCCCCCCGCTCGCTACACGCTTCCCTCCCTTCCAGCCACGGCGTTTGTAACCGGGGTTTGCGCTCCTCTTTTAACCCCTTTTTCGTTCTTCCCTCTTGACAGCGCCTGACATTTTGTGCACCTCGGCTGTGCCCCAGCATGGTGAAATGCGCACGAAGGAGAAGCGCGCTCCTAGTTTGTTGGCAAGCATCCTCCTCTCTCCTTTCTCTGGGGATGCGAGAAAAGGCTGCTAGGGATAACGAAAGCCCGCCTGCGTTCCATCCGCTACCCAAACAATGGCTTTATTTAAACATATAAAGACATCGCTGCACTGAGACCCTTTAAAAAAATGTTTTCTCCCTCCCC